AGACTACATACATACATGTGTTGTTCTGCTTATGCATATACATACTTGAGAGTTTAACTAAATAGTTTTGCACACATACATATATGCTGCTGGATCAACTTACTCCCCATAAGGATCAAATGATTAGACGGTGCACATGACTTGGATTAATTGACTGTTGACGCTTGACGGTATCCCTACCATCCACAGTCACCACATTGACTAGGTGACTATTTTCCTGGTGGTTCGACCGCAAATGAATATGATGGTGGCTAGTGTCACCTGTATTATTGCTAATACTCGGATGAAGTAACGAAGTTGTGGCTTTAAGGCGTCTATGTAAAAGGCGTTTACCCTATAAAAAGTTGAATTAGTACGAAGGAGTTAAAACGAATATGCAAAAGTTTTCACCTGCCGCGTTTTACTTGATTTGGAATCCTCAATTAAGCAATTTGGCACTTGAAACAGCGACTCACCACGTGTTATCAGCATATTAGTAAGACGACAGCACTGAGCAGCCATCTTAACTTGCTCTTCAATGCTATTCTTGTCAATTGGATGTATGTAACGTGGCGGGAAAAATGACGGCGCAATTATTGTTGATACATTATGCATATTCATCTTATTGTATTCTTTCTGCTCAATGACATTGTTCAGAAAGCGTAGCAACGATCGTAACGTATTTCGATTTTCATGCGGCAACATCTGGCAAATAATCGCTAGGGCTTTGGATTGATCCGAAAGGGGTAAAGCATGGCATTGATAGAATAGCTGAATGAGCTCATTGGTAAGTAGCGGTTGAGGCAATTCCCTCAACCAACGCTTAAGTAGTGCACTTAGATCATGAACACTGGCTGAGCTCAATAGCTGAGTAAACTTTTTAGGCTTCTGATAGAAGCTTGACTCCAGTTCATTGTATAGTATTTCAGTCTAGGAAATGATTTAAAGGTTGAATTAAGCCCCAGGATTTCAAATATATATTAATACATGTAATTTACCTTTTGCTTGTGCCCGGCGACGCGCAGGATACCTTCTTCTCTAGCACCACGTTTCGTCAGCTCTTCTAAAATACCTTCAAGGAATAACGGCACCAACGTAGAGTCCCTTCCTGTTATTTGTTGATCGCGTCTTATAAGCGCATTCAGAGAAACTCCGAAGAGGTTACCTTCCTCTTTGCGTCGTCGCTTGAACGGTTTTCGCTTGTCCAGTGACACATGATTACGGTCAAAAATTGCCGCTAATTCTAACCAAAAAACAGTTTGTAGTCGCTTCAATTCTGTCTCATTTATAGTATCTATATCGGTACAAAACTCTAATGAAGCGTCACAGCTATCCACAACATCCTGAAAATGGCAAAATTCAATCGAGTTACATAAAATATAAAAGCGTATCCTTGGGTAAGGTAAAAAGATGTGTGAAATTATTCAAAACCTGATACAAAAATATAAAATAGTAATAGATAAGACTTGCGTGTTTCCAAACTGCAAAAATTCGGTACACCTGTGCAAAGGTTCGAAAATAAATTTGTTTGCTTTTCTGAGGAT